ATTTCAGCTCACTGCAAACTTTGCCTCCCAGATTCAAGTAATTCTCCTGCCTCAGCCTCCCAAGTAGCTGGGATTACAGGAGGACATCACCATTCCCAGCTAATTTTTGTATTTTTAGTAGAGACAGGGTTTCACCATGTTGGCCAAGCTGGTCTCGAACTCCTGACCTCAGGTGATCCACCCACCTTAGCCTCCCAAAGTGCTGGGGTTACAGGTATGAGTCACCATGCCCAGCCAGGTGATGAAAATATTTTAGAACTAATTTTTCAACACTGCAAATTTAGAAATTAAAAGAAAATATTGACCCTGGATAATGTTGAATTAATGAGATGGAAATATTTCAAATAAAAGAATATCTGCAAATATCACATATCACTGTTCAAAAAAGGAAATAACAATAATGTGTTCACCGTGTATCCATGTATCTCTTGACCTGTGTCACTGTGTTTGGCATTATTGTATGGTTGTGATAGGGATAGCTAATTCTTCCCAAATATTCTTTCACTGTCTTTTTTTTTTTTTTTTTTTTTTTTTTTTTTTTTTTTTTGGTAATAGAACATGTGTTTTAAACCAGATGACCAGAACAAAGACTATTTTTCTGGATACCTTGCAACTAGATGTGGCCATGTGACTAAGTTGTGGTCACTTGGGTACACTAAACGAAGTATGTATTATCTGGGCTATGCATTGAAAAGGAAGGGACAGGGCCTACTCTTCCCCGTGTCCCCTCCCTGCTGCAGTAATTGGACATTGGGGAGAGCCATTTTGAACCACTGACATCACCACATCCCCCTAGGCATGACTAAGCCACAAAACAGCAAGTGTCTGGGCTTCGGATGTCTGACAAAGGCAGCCATTAAACTGTCTTTGGTAAACTGCATACTTAACTTGTTTAAAGCTGTACCTTAATTAAGACATCAGTAGTAAGACCCAAACAAACCAGAAAAAAACAAACACCATTCCAGACCTCAAGAGGTTTAAAGTATAATAATAACAGTTACCCTTTACGGAACCAGTTTTATGTGTCTAGCCCTCTGATGATGTGCATCTCATGTATCATCTCATTTTACCTTCACCACAACTCTAGGATGTAGGTATTATTACTCAAATGTACAAAAGAGAAAACTGTGGTTTGAAAGATGTGTTTCTTTTTCTAGGTAGTAAGCACATCCCAGTATTGAAACTAGAGGAGGGGCGATGGAAGGCTGTTATGAATGATCAGTCTTCCATGAGTAAGGAGAGGTAGAATGGCAATATTTATGATGGGTATTTATAAGAGGAGAGACTAGAGAAGATGCTCCCTGATAACATATTACAACTTAACATATGTAACATATACAGTGCTTTTCTGAGGTGCCTCTACTTGTCCATTTCCTAATGGATGCCAAATGTTTCCAGGAACTCAATCATCTAAGTGAGAATCATGCCATGCAAGACAGGTGTCAGTTCACTGCTGATAAACTTGCAAAGGCTGGAAGTCAAAAATCTGAATTGCAGAGCATATGGGTGGTGTCATCAGAATCAGAACATAGATTGTCCAGTGGTGGCTAATTATTTGGGATGGATAGAAACATGGTAGAGTTTTGGAAGCCTTTAGACATAAATTAACTGTGAAAAGCAGGATCTCAGTCTCATGGGCAAAGGAAGCTGAAACACTGAATTGCTGGCAGAGGGCTCAGGACCAAACAATATTCCTGGAAAATACTTCTGAGTCCTTCCCTCTTCTCCACCTGGCCTCCAGGGCAGACAGGTAGCACTATTGCTTTCTTCTTGAATCTGGGGAAATTAAGGTCTAGAGAGTTGGAAGCATCTAAATCAAGGTCCAGGTGACAGTGTGGCAGGCCAGGTCTGACTAACGCAGGCCTCCATCACTACTGTTTGAGCACTGACTGAGTGGGTAAGTTAAATATTAAAAGCTAAAAGAGCCAGTGTCCTTATACAAAGGCTGGAACGTAAGAGCTTTGCTTAGGCCTTTCCTGGGCCTTGAAGCATGACAAGATAATGAAGGAATTCTTAACAAGACATGTTTAGGATTAAACAAGTTTTATTGGGGATCTGAAGAAACTCCCCAGGCCTCCACAAACAAGCTTTATTGGGGACTAAAGGACCTCCCCAAACCTCTGTGGCTTAGCAGGAGACAAGATAAGGGTAATCACCCCAGCACCTGGACCCATTTACATTAAGTAAATTTACAGAGGCTCCAGGGGAAGGTCTTCAAGACTCAGGTCTTAGAGATTAAAAGAAGTTAATTACGTATGTCTTTAGATGAATGCACACTTACACATAGACATATAGCTCAGAACATATATAACCTCTGGGAATCTTTGTAATTTTGAGCTGATCTGATGATATTTTCCAAGACTTCTCCCTGGAACCAGTTACAGAAATAAAATTTCTCTTCCTTCTCAGTTCATCTGCATCCCGTTATTGGGCTGTGAGAAGTAGCAGCCTGGCCCTCAGTTTGATCCAGGAACAATAGAGGTTGCACAAAATGACAAATATCCTTATTCCTATTTCAAGTAAGATGGCTTTATCTCTCTCTACCATGAAGACTGGATTTGTTCCTGTGTAGGGCTTATTCTTCGGCCACACACACCTCAGTTCCAATCCAGGTGACACAGGCAATTTTACCCATTCTTTCTTTACTGTGACAAGAGGTGGGAAAGGACATTTTAAACTAAGACAGGCAATGGTGCTTCAAGTGGTCAATTGTTCTCCATTGCCTTAGTGATGTGGGGATCTTGACTGGGGTTTGTATGACTGTGAGTTGCTCACCTTTTTAAAAATAAAGGGAACTAAGGGATTTCTAGGATAGCTAAGGCTGGCAGCTGCCATGGCGGTAAGCTCTTGTATATTCAGCAGGATGAACAATGAGCAAAAAATTCACATGCATTGGCTGGAAAACAAGCCTCTGAAACTATTTTGAGCACTGTTGATATTGTTTAAAATGGTGCATTCTAGGAATTTCAAAATATAACCATATAGCCAAAATTTTTTGAGATACCATTTTATTTTTTAATATATTAACTCATTTATACAAAATGAAAATGAAAATACAATAGTGTAGTTATTATAGTTTAAAATATATTAAAACAGGGAAAATAAAAATAATATTCATAAAAGGCAAAAACAAAGAGAAAATAAAATATACAATGCTTGTTTTGTGCGTAACTGTATTATTATATAAATACTTAAATATATATACGAATATGTATACAATATGTGTGTCTCCAGTCAGACCTACCAAGAATAAGGTCTCTAGTTAGCCTCTGGGTTGGCTATTGTTGGTTTTGAGTGAGAACTCAAACTCAAGGACAGAGCTGACTTGTTCAGAGCAAATAAACTTACTCCTGATGATTATTTTCTTGCCTTCTCCCCTCACCTAGAATTCTCTCCTTCTTCTCTAAATAAAGGTGAGTAATATTTAAAAAGAAATAAATGATACAAGAATTGCCAAATGTCAGCCAGTCCTATTACACCCACATATCTTGGTTCAACCCCATGATATTATAGGAGTTTCTTACTTTTCATTCAAAGAAAATTTCAATCCGTGGTGATGTAACACTATAAAGAGTTGATCCAAAGATAAAGAAGCGGTGTGGAGGATTTAGAAGAAAATTCTGGAGCCCATTTTAGCTCAAGCCATTGCCTTTATAATACAAATGAAAATAATATTCTTTTTCTGCTAGTTCTATACTGGAGCTCTGCAGAGGCAATGTTTTCTTTTCTTTTAAAATTTGCATAATTCTTAGATAGCAGTGACACAAACCTCTTATATTTGAAGATCATTTTAAAAGTCATGTCAATCAGTGTATTTAAAATTAAAAACAGTTATCACTAACATGAGAATTTAATCATGTATACTTTTTTAAAAAACTTTTTTTCCTGTGACAATAAGGCTCGTCCTTATGCAAAAACAGTTTAATCTTCTCCCACATAACAAAGGGTCTAAATTTTGAGGTACCCTGCTCTAGCTAAGGTTGTGACATCCTGCCTCCTGGAGAATGGTGCCCTGGGGCCATCTCCCAAACTGCAGTCCTTGGGGGCATCTGCCTGCTTCCTTTCCCTACAAGCTCTCTTGTACATATGGTTCCCAGGGCATGCAGGAAGGTCACCTGCAGATCAAATCTTTCTCCAGCCCTTCCCCACATCTGCCCAGGATTCCAGGAAACTGCAGTGCCCATGACTCCTCGCCAGCTGTCATCAGGCTCAATGTAGCCAATGAAAGGCACTGCTGGGAGATTGGGAGGTGGGAGGAAGAAAGAGACCAGCATGTTTCTTCCCTTTGCTCCATGCCCTGGGCTAGATTTTCGGCACTGGCCAAGTCTCCCCAGGCTCCAGCTCCCACTGGGTGAATCTGGGTTTCATTTTATTTTATTTTGAGATGGAGTTTTGCTCTGTCTCCCAGGCTGGAGTGCAGTGGTGTGATCTCGGCTCACTGCAACCTCCACCTCCCAGGTTCAAGTTACTCTGCCTCAGTCTCCTGAGTAGCTAGGATTATAGGCACGCACCACCACACCCAGCTAGCTTTTGTATTTTTGGTAGAGACAGGTTTCACCATGTTGGCCAGGATGGTCTTGAACTCCTGATCTCAAGTGATCCACCCAGTTAGGCCTCCCAAAGTGCTGGGATAACAGGCATGAGCCACTGCCCCCAGCCAAATCTGGGTTTTAGTAACATCATTTTCTTGCTTTGTCCCTCCAGCCAGTCATGTGCAAGAAACTAGGAAGAAAACTATGAGAAATATAGATCTCACCCTACCCATGAGGAGTCTGCAGTCCAGCAGGTAAATTTAATAATGTTTAACAAAAATTACAGTGGATATTCAGCTCAGATGGTACCTGTGCTCATACAGTCATTTGGCATTAAAAGAAAAAAAATGTACGTTTTTCCCCCAAAGGGACTGGGAAGTCCAGTACCCTCCCTAGGTTATTTACAAAATCTTGATGGTTTTATGGTTCCCTGGTTTCTTCAGTATCTGCATTTCAGATGCCATGTCTCTCCCATCTCACATGTCTACAGACCTAGGCTGTCCTCTTACCTTTGTTCTGCCCAAGATGAGAATGCAGGAACACCCTCATCCTAGGGACATTGACTCCAGTTGACATCCATTGGATAACACATCCTTTGCCGGTTCTCTTTCCTGTATCACCTCCACACTTCTCTACTAGTGCTTTCTGGGAGCGTCTCCCACATAAACCCTGAGAACTTGAAATCTCGTCTCTGGGTCTATTTCTGAGTGACATCAAACTGAACAAAATTCATCTCACACCTGGACAAGTGGAGAGGAGCATCTTCCCAGTACAATCTCATACTGGAGGGGAAATTACGGTACAGAGAAAATGCTCTTGAAATTAATGCCTTTTTAATGTCCAATTTTCCGGGCTCTCCCATTTCAATCCTTTGATATCCTCAAGATTTGCCGGATTACCAGTGGTCAGCACCTCACTTTGGAAAGGGGGAGAACTTGCCTTCTGTCATTTTCTGAGTCCTGAAAGAATCTGTACATAACAACTTGTCAAAGATATCAAGAATAACATAACACATGGCCATGCACACAAGGTAGAGTTTGGAAATAAAACATTCTGAATACTGCTGATGTCTTCTGGGTGCACTTCAATTTTCTTCTCCCTTGCTTTCCCTTGACGTAACCACTGCCCTAAATTCTGTTTTAATCATTCTCAGGGCTTCCTTCAATAAGGAGTTTAGTTTTTTTTGGCAAGAGAGCATGAAGACATTATCTACAACACCATCTGCAATAATTCATAAAGCAGAGGTTTCACATTTAGACTCACAGTTATCAGATCTAATGGGTACTAATGTTTCCAGTAAATATAATCTATTTCATTACATTTTACATTACTAAGTCTAATACATCATTTGCCAGTAGGAGCATTGAAAACTTAAGACTTTAAAAGAAAGTTCCATATCAAGTCTGTCACTCTAATGTAGAAGTCCAGCATCCACTTTTGTATTGCCTCCTTTCAAATAACTTGTTTTTCATAATTCATGTTTACTTGAAATGTGACAAGGTGCTTGTTTCTGTCCAGAAAGGTTTGCTTGAATACAAAGGAAATATATTTTCTATAATTATAGGTTTTGATCGTGCTAATTTATGTACATTATCTTCTAGCAAAACATTATTTGGCAGCACATTTGATAGGGGAAAGGAACTAAAGGTATTTTAGGGGGGGCAGTCAGTGTTTACAGAAGTAACTGAAATGTGTGATGAAGTCAAAGAAAAGTACCAGGATAATTCACATCACTCAATTCAGCAAACACATCAGCTTATGTTCAGTGGTGATTATTGGCATGTAACTTGCAAAACATAATGTTTGGGGAGAAAGCATACACTTATTTTGTAAATACAGGCAGGTAAATTGGAAGCTCTGTGAAATATCTGAGTTCATACTTTTTGGGTGTGTCTTGAGAATAAATGGGATGCATTGACTTCCATCCTTTCTTTCTAACTCACCTAGGACGTTACGTGGTAAGAGATCACATGGGAATGTGTCTTATGCTGGAGAAAGTGACACCTGTCATTCTATGCAGGGACATTGAATACCTTTGAAGGGAAGTGGAAACATCTTCAAAGTACCTGGGTATCAAAGAAAAAAATATTTGCTTAAGCCTCAGAGAATGTAACAAACACTTCATTTAGAAAGTATCTGACACTAAAACTAATAATCCACCTTAGAAAATAGAACATTGCCTTTTAACATCATCTCGTTTAGAGAAACACCGAACAGGAATGGAGATCTACAGAGTTTTGAGAGAAATTGTTTGAACGCTTCAATCACGACATCAAACAGTGTTTCATGTTCAGAAGCTAAGGTATATACTCTGACCAATTAATCCTTTAGACCTGAAAAATACTATCCTTTGAAAAACACGTAAAAACAATATCATCATTCAGCAGTCAATTTTTGAACTATCTGTCTAGGCTGCCGTGGCCAATATTTTATTTACTTTGAGATAGCATCCAAATAGGAGGCACAGCACCCTCTCTAATTAAAATGGAGCACACTAAATGTTCTATTTCCTGAAGTGAAAGGTATCACAGGGCTCAGTGGAATGGCTGTGTGACTGAGATCAGCACTGTCTGTAAAGTCTGAGAGTTATCTCAAGCTTCCTCTCTGGGCAAATGCCTGGGGGCATCTCCAAGCCACAGGGCTGGGTGGCTCCACCTCCATCTGCCCCTTGAGTGTGGCATATTCAGGTAGGGGCTGCTGAACTGGGGGTAGGGACATGGCCAATCTGCCTGCCCAGTGACCTCTCCATGTTGGCTGCCGCTCACTGACCTGTGCAGGCAGAGGGCCACCTTTCTTTCCCAGCATTCTCTCTGCCTGGTGGAGGTGTTGTGGGGGGGTTTCCTTCTTCATCTTAGCATGGGAAAAAAAGGTATTGCTCAAGAGAAGATGAGGCTGCTGGTGTTCTGGGCTTCTGTGCATGGACTCTTCTGTGCTTGTGGGTGGTTACACATCTGGAATTCTATTTGGGCGAACAAATACTGATCATGTCCAGTTTCACTCCACTTTCCCAATGCCAGTGTCGCCATCATTTCCATGCAATTCCCATCCTGGTGTCAGCGACTTACTCATGGATCAGGCCATCAGAGGCGAGTGAAGGCCCAGATGATTCTATTTCTTGACGTGACAAGCTGTTTCTTTTCTTTTCTTTTTTTTTTTTTTTTCCAGTGGTGGAATGCTAATATAAGATTACAGAAACTGTCATGTATTTCAAATGCTTACATCCTCTAAATTAATACTTTAAATATATGAATGTATGTGTATGTGCTTGTACTGGAAACATTTTTTTGTTGTTGTTTTGTTTTGAGTCAGAGTCTTGCTCTGTCGCCAGGCGCCAGGCTGGAGTGCAGTGGTGCGATCTTGGCTCACTGCAACCTCCGACTCCTGGGTTCAAGCAATTCTCCTGCCTCAGCCTCTGGAGTAGCTGGGACTACAGGTGTGCACCACCATGCCCAGCTAATTTTTGGATTTTTTGGTAGAGATGGGGTTTCACCATGTTGGCCAGGATGGTCTTGATCTCTTCACCTCGTGATCTGCTCGCCTCAACCTCCCAAAGTGCTGGGATTACAGGTGTGAGCCACCGCGCCCGGCCACTGGCAACACTTAATTACACCACCTAACACATAGTGATTCACAGTGCACTGCAGATTTTGCTGTCAGGTCCTGTGTGTGTGTTTTAAGGCTGGTTTATGGCTGCTGGCTGTCTTTTTTCCATCCTTCTGGGGACTCAGTCTCCCTGGCAGATAACGCTGTGAGTCATCTTCAAGATTCTTCTTGAATGACAGATCCCACCCCAAGTGGCCCTCCTGGCATCTGCCCACAGTTCCTGCTCTGGGGAATTGACCATTTTAATTCTTTCTGCCTTGGTCAGAAGCATAGCTTTGTAGTCAGAAAGGACTGGGTTTCCTTCTCACAGCTGTGGATACTAGCTGTGTGTGACCTGAGCCAAATCAACTTTTCTCCTCTTCTCATTTGTAAAATAGGTATAACAATAATCTGTGCTTCTGTGCATGAACTTTTCTGTGCTTGTGGGTATCTATCCATCCTGGTATAGACTATCTAATTTATTCAGTCCAATAGTTATTAAAATAGATGTGCAATAACTACACTGATTTAAATAATAATAATAGGCGTTATACATCTATTTTAATAATTGCTGGATGAATAAATATGATAATGCATATTAAACAATTAGCACAGTACCTGTTATTTAATTTTTGCTCAATTATTATATTATTAAAAATTAGCACAATAATATTCAAATAGTAATAGTAATTATTCTAAGTATATATTATATGTATTTTACATTTATAATATATATTTGCAAGTGTGCATCTGTATATATAAACACACATTATGTATTTATAAATTATATATATAAACATACAAATATCTTATGACTTTATGAAGATCAAGAACTAACCCTACCAAAATTCTTAGTAGAGTAATATGCATGAAGGTAGAATTGGTAGGCTATTTGTATCGAGAACTTAGTTAATTTAAGAAAAGAAAATGGATATTCTTTTTCCAAAGCATCAACCCTGCTTTAAAACTAATTAGTTGGTTCAATACAATAATATTGTATTGATGATATCTATATATTTTTTAGCATATTCTCACTTCGAATTAAAGGAAAGGTCCATTATAATCACCTGAAGGATAAAAATAAATATCAGGCTGGACATGGTGGCTCAAGCCTGTAATCCCAGCACTTCGGGAGGCCAAGGCAGGTGGATCATTTGAAGTCAGGAGTTTGAAACCAGCCTGGCCAACATGGCAAAACCCTGTCTCTACTAAAAATACAAAAATTAGCCAGGCAAGATGGCTCATACCTGTAATCCCAGCTACTTGGGAGGCTGAGGCAGGAGAATCATTTGAACCCGGGAGGCGGAGGTTGCAGGTGAGCAGAGACAGTGCCACTGAACTCCAGCCTGGTGACAGAGGGAGATTCTGTCTCAAAAACAAAATCAATTATGAAACATAATACCAGCCGGATTTTCTTTTTCTTTCTGGAGGGATCAAAGTAATTCATCAGAGCACATGATCTGTGTTTTAATATCTCAAATTGTGTAAAGCTAATGTAATAATTGCTGATTTGAACCAGGAATGAGTTTGCTGCCGTACGTCTCCAGTCTCACACACAAGCATGGCACTGGCTTTGTAATAAAAGTGTCCTTTATAACAACCTCATGGCCTGTAATTTAGTTGTGGGCCATCACAGTCATCCTAACTGGGTAGCTTTTTCTTTAG